TTAGTTCCATAATTGTTGCTAATAATGAGATGGTTACTATGAAAATTATAATCGCATCAATTGGAGGAACTGTAGGCGCGTTTATAATTATAACATGTGGATTTTTATTTTATAGATGGAACAGAAATAGGAATGAACAACCTGGATTCATTAATGGGGAGCAACATAATTTACCTGGAAGTATTGTTGAGAATAATTATAATAATTATATAGCGTAATGACCTAATCATACATTAACTTTAATTTTTTAAATTTTGCCAATGATTAAATTTTTTTTAATTTATACATTTCCTATTAAATTGATTTAGTACTTAGTATGTTTGAAAGTATTTGAATTTTGCTGTGTATCTTAGGATTACAAATATTATTATTTCAAATTTTTCTATAAATAATAGTTTTGCAATGCATTCTATTAAAATAATAGATTTGACTTACTAATATTTTATATTAATTCGAAGAATGAGCTCAATATAATGATCGCTAATCAACACAAGTTTAAATAACTATTTTTCATATGTAGTTTAGATAAATTTTTTAAAAAAAGCTAAAATATTTTTAAAATGAAATGTTAATAATAATTAATAATTTTGTATTATTTAAATTTACAGAAGAAATTGTTAAATCATCCTAAAAATATAAATTACAGTTAGAACTACAACTAATATATATTGACATTTTTATTAAAAACAAATTTAATAAAAGAATATAATATTCTTATATATCACATTTTGGCCCTAGTTTTATTGATAAATATTTATTCTTTTATGATTTCTGAATATAACAAAAATAAAGTCCAACAAATTTAGTAGAATTTATCTCTTAAAACTTCATTTTACTCATTTAACAATTTATTCTTCTTTAATCTAAAATTAATAAAGATGACCTGACCTTCAATTAAATTAACTTTATTTTTTTCTTGATTTAACTTAATAATTCGCATTCGCTAACAGGAAGTGAAGTTTATGTTAACTTAACGATACGATCTACAAAAAATCTATACTGATAAAACTTTCTTTTCACGATCATTATACCATTGTTATTTGTAATAAATTTTGCTAAATTAAAGCTTTAGAATTATTTTGATGTTAAGCTTAAACGATATGTGGCCAAATCGCAAATGTCTTCCGGCCAATTTGCGCTCCTGGCCAATATGCATCCGGCCATTATGTTTCATGGACAAAAATGCTCCTGGACAATGGTTTTAAGTATAAAAGAGGTGAGATTTCACTTGTTTTAATAGTATGTTCCCTAGATGATAAATATAGATAGCATTATAGCATATATCTCTATTCCCTAACGATAATGAAAACATATAATAAAATACGTATCTAATATAAAGCGCCGACGATTGAGGCAACAACTTATTTAAGTTTTTTTTACATTCGTCATTTTATCGAAAATCAAAACTTATCACTTTTTCCTATATTTTTTTTAGCCTATTGAATAACAAAAGTTTATATGTAAAAAAAATCACATGTTTTACATTTTAAGTCGGCATATGCGTTGCTAATCTATTGGCATCATCACAACAGAATTAAATAATATGTAAATAAAAAAGGGGATCTACTCTACTCTTTGTTCTCTTTGTTTATAGTGGCACTATAACATCTTGTGAAATGAAATTTTCCAAAAAATGGATTGTTATTTAAATTTCTTTTTTTCGAATGTTTATTTTTTAAAAAAACTAATTGCAATAATGGCATATAAAAAACGCAATTTGCTTATCTTGCTCATTTTTTTGTTAAACGATTTATTCTTTAAAGTTGGGCATTTACTCCTTAAGGACGTTTAGCTCATTCTACTGCCCTTGTTGAAAATAAGCTGTATTTTTTTGGCGGATGTGTTGATATTACTAAATCATGTACAAATCAAGTGTTTTATCTCGATTTATCTCAGTCTTTTAATTTAGCTGCTCCACCTTGGGTTTCTCTCACGCAAAAGGCCGGTATACCATTCAAAAGTTGCTGGGAACTACTTTATTTAATGATAAAGAACAAAGTATTTATTTATTCGGTGGGTTAACACTCAATAATTTAAATAAAGATGAACTTTTATCAAGCCTTTATTTTATGTATTTAAATTCCTTATCGTGGCATGCACCTGTTGTCGAAGGAACATCACCAGAAAGACGCAGAAATATTCGTGGTATTATTTATAATACCGGAAATATATATATATTGGGTGGATTTGTAGACAAGGCTCTAGGTTCTGAAACGATATCATATTTCAATAATATGTCATCCTAAATACAGCAGAATTATCATGGTTTATCGTTCCAGCTAGAAAACCGTATCATTCTTATACTACGACACTTTTATCTAATGGAGTTATTGTATATATTGGTGGTGTAGAGTTAATTGAGAAAAACAAACAGTAATTGATATTAAATATATTTATTTATATGATATAAAGTCCCATATTTGGTCAATGAATGTATGCATCAATATTATTATATTGTGTTATAAATATTTAAATAGTTAACAGTATTTATTTTTAGATAGCAAAAGATTCAAGATCGCTTTGGACATACTGCAGTCTTAAGTATAATTATAATTTAATGTTTATATAGTATTTAATTTATTTATTTATTTATTTCCACTTTTTTTTTAAATAGCTCCTGATGGTAAAATCCTTATCTATGGAGGTACTAAAGGCTTAGACCTAATGCAAGTTGCTCCAAATTTGATTGTTTTAAATACGGAAACCGAAAAATTTGAATTTATGGTGCCACCAGTTAATGGACAGCTTCCACCATCTCTTACAGCTCATACAGCTGATATTTTTGGAAATTATATGATTTTAGCTTTTGATAGGTAATATTTTACATTGCTTTATTGAAATATTTCAAAACTTATAATTTATTTTAATGTATTTCGATAGGAAATATTACACAACCAAATGCCAGTCCATTACTATTAGAGAATTCTAATATTTACATAATGGATATTAGAAACTATACGTGGGTTAATTCATTTGAGGTAGCAAGTGCAAACATAACGACAAATTCTGGATCATCAAAAACGCAATCATCGCCAATTAGTTCCATAATTGTTGCTAATAATGAGATGGTTACTATGAAAATTATAATCGCATCAATTGGAGGAACTGTAGGCGCGGTTATAATTATAGCATGTGGAATTTTATTTTATAGATGGAACAGAAATAGGATTGAGCTAGATCCAGGAGAACATAAACTACCTGGAAGTATTGTTGAGAATAATTATAATAGTCCTGGATTCATTAATAGGGAACAACATAATTTACCTGGAAGTATTGTTGAGAATAATTATAATAATTATATAGCGTAATGACCTAATCATACATTAACTTTAATTTTTTAAATTTTGCCAATGATTAAATTTTTTTAATTTATACATTTCCTATTAAATTGATTTAGTACTTAGTATGTTTGATGTATTTGAATTTTGCTGTGTATCTTAGGGCAATTACAAATATTATTATTTCAAAATGAAAAATTTAAAGCTGGAAGGTGTTCGTTAATTTTTCTATAAATATATTTTTGCAATGCATTCTATTAAAATAATAGATTTGACTTACCATTATTTTTATATTAATTGGAAAGAATGAGCTTAATATAATGATCGCTAAGCAACACAAGTTTAAATAACTATTTTTCATATGTTTTTTAGATAATTTTTTTAAAATAAGGTAAAATATTTTTAAAAATGAAAAGTTAATATTTAATTTTACAGAAGAAATTGTTAAATCATCCTAAAAATATAAATTACTGTTAGAACTACAACTAATATAAGAATATTATATTCTTTTATTAAATTTGTTTTTAATAAAAAATTCAATATATATATTTCACATTTTGGCCTTAGTTATATTGATAAATATTTATTCTTTTATGATGTACTGAATACAACAAAAATATAGTCCAACTAATTTAGTAGAATTTATCTCTTAAACTTCATTTTATTCATTTAACAATTTATTCTTCTTTAATCTAAAATTAATAAAGATGACCTGACCTTAAATTAACTTTATTTTTTTTCTTAATTTAACTTAATAATTCGCATTTGCTAGCAGGAAGTTTATGTTTACTTAACGACATAACGTTTAAGCTTAATAACATCAAAATAATTCTAAATCTTTAATTTAGCAAAATTTATTACAAATGACAATGCTATTAACAATTGTTCAAGTGGTAAATTACCTCTTTACGAAATTAAGAGGTGACAATAGAAAGTAAAATCAAATAAATATTTAAGGTATATAAAATATGTTTAAAAATATAAAAATATTATTTATATCGTTATATCGTTTTAAAATTTTTCTGAATAATAAACTAGGGAACGGGATCCGTTCAAAGTCCAAAGCATGGTATATAAATTATAATATTATATTTCACATGATTAATTATTTTGTAACACAAAAGTCATAACACGTGATAACGAAAACAAAATGTCATTGGTTATCACGCTTGCCAAATTTGGACGGACAGAACGACCTTGCATTTAAATGACCTAGAAGTAAAATGTCCTCCGCTATGCTTCGGACAATTAATAATAATATTAATTGACTTTTTTTTTATATTTTTTTACAATTTATTTTTTAAAATAAAATTAATAAAATTAAAATTTTTATTTTTATCATTTAACATTTAATTCTTGTTAAATTTGAAATAAGTGTTAAAATTGAGCTCATGCTAGTATATATGTTGATTATGGCAAATATGTAACATTTCGGAGTTTTAGTTAATTTCCTATATTTTAAGTTTATTTTAACTAGCATTTATATTGTTTATATTATTTAATGCGAAAATGCGTAGTTTATAATTTAGTATTGAAAATTATTTACAGAAAAAAAAGAATAGAGTCCGAATCGTTGCGAGTCTTGGTGATAGACTGACGGATTTCTAATATCTAATAAAAACACATATTACACTTTTAACCCTTCATCTTGTCTTCATATAGACTCCGCTTGTGATAACCTACGTTATTAATGATATATTACCAGGATAAAGAATTCCGGAATATTATTACATTGCAGATGGTTTCGGTACAATCCCAGGGTTAACACTGGTCGAATTTCGGTTTATGTAAATTATGCCCGAATATTTTTAGATTTCCAATTTTGCAAAAAAAAAAAATATCCATTTTTTATCTCATTATGACAATGATGTTCCCCTAGTGTTTGAGATGCAGTGTAACATTGTTAAGTTTTTTCAAACAAAGGAATATTTATTTTAATATTAAATAAAACCTTTCTATTCTTTCTATTTTGCCAAATATTATCAAAAAAATAAAGTAATTTTCTTTAAATTAATCAAATTTATTTGAAATCATGACTTACAAACTTTTTAACTTTATTCTTATATTAAGTTATTTATTCTTAAGAGTTTATTCATTTATACCTGAAGGACGTTCGGCTCATTCTACTGTCCTTATTGACAATAAGCTGTATTTTTTTGGAGGATTTGTTGAAAATGCTAAGTCTTGCACAAACCAAGTGTTTTATCTCGATTTATCTCAATCTTTTGATCTGATTGCTCCACCATGGGTTTCACTTACGCAAAATGCCGGAATACTATTCAAAAGTTGCCGGGGAACTGCTTTATTGAATGAAAAGGAACAAACTATATATTTATTCGGTGGATTAATGCGCAATAATTTAAATAAAGATGAATTTGTATCAAACGTTCATTCATTAAATTTAAAATCCTTATCGTGGAATGTGCCTAATATTGAAGGAACCCCACCTGAAAGGCGCAGAAGTATGAAGGGTGTTATTGATAATACCGGGAAAATATATATTTTTGGTGGATTTACTGGACCTACGTTAGGTTCAGAAACAATAATACGTTACAATGATATGGTCATCCTAGATACAGCTGAATTATCATGGTTAATCATTCCAGCTAGTAAACCGTATGCTGCAAATTCTTATACCGCAACATTATTGTCTAATGGAGTTATTGTATATATTGGTGGTACAGAGACTCGAGAAGCTACTGCAACATCGATTGACATTAAAATCATTAACCTTTTTGATACAAAGACCTTAACTTGGTCAGTGAAAGTATGTATTAACATTACAAAGTTTAATAAAATTATGAATAAAATTTAAATAGTTAATATCAATTTATTTTTATAGATTGCAACAGCTTCAAATATAATTTCAAATCGTTTTAGTCATACAGCGGTTTTAGGTATTTAATAATTAATTAATATTTCAATTATATTTAATAATTAGCCTTTTCTCTATTAAAATAGCTCCAGGTGATAAAATCATTGTTTATGGTGGTTCTAAAGGTAGCAATAATTTACAAGTTCTTCCAGATTTGTTTTTTTTAAATATGGAATCAGAACAATTTGAGTTGACGGTGCCAAAAGTTAATTCAAATGTTGGTCAGGTTCCATCTCTTACTGGCCATTCAGCTAATCTGGTTGGACATTATATGATTGTAGCTTTTGGTAGGTAAATAATAATTACATTCCTTTTCAAAACCTTTTAATTCATTTTAATGTATTTCGATAGGAAATATTCCACAACCAAATGCCGATCTATTGCCAATAGAGAATTCTAATATTTACGTAATGGATATTAGAAACTATACGTGGGTTGATTCATTTGAAATAGCAAGTGCGACTAAATATGACTCATCAACACCACAATCATCACCAGCTAATGTTGTTACAAATAATTCTAATAGTACAATTAAAATTATATCCGCATCAATTGGAGGAACTGTGGGCGCAGTTATAATAATTGCGTGTGGATTTTTAATTTATAGATGGAATAAAAATAGGATTGAGCTAGATCCAGGAGAACATAAACTACCTGGAAGTATTACTCAAATTCATCATAGTAGTTATATGATATAATAATATCATTTATATTTATTCAGTAAAAAATTAACTATTAAATTTATCATTTATGAGAATAAATTTCTTAGTTCAAGGTTTATTATTATTGTCGCTTTCAATATTGAGACAAAATGCTTATTTTCGGCTAAATTTTGAAAAATTAAAAAATTTCAAAATTATTTGTAGTGCAGATTTTGCATTAAAATAAATGCTATTCATTTAACATTTATTTCACATATCAAACGAAAGCATATTGTCAAACAAAAGCTTCTAACACTTAGGTTTCAAAACGTACTTGTTCTTCATATTCTGTTGGATAAAGTAAGCAATAGATAATTATGCGAAGCACAGTTTTTATAAAGGCTTTAAAATAAGTAAAACCCTTTGTCTATGAAGAGTATGGAATTTGAACAGCTTCTACAAAGTCTCAAGATAAATGATTTTCAAAATCTTGAGAATTAATAATACCTGATCGTAAAGAATTTTGAAATTCTCATGCTATTTTAGAATTTGCTACACAATTCCTAAAAAAAATTTAAATTCAACAATTATTAAATAAAGTATAAAATTTTTTTAAAAAAAATAACTAAAGTTTTCTCTTTCTAATTGAGTCCAAAGAAAATATCTATTCTATTCTTCAATCTTTTGTTCAACTTCTGACGCTGATCACATTTATGCAATAACTGCATAGTTTTGCACTTGAAACACAAATCACTATGTGATGATATGAACTTTATATCTGAAATAATGTTCAAACACTTACTATGTATTTATATGTATTAGTATTATTTTCTATAATATCAATATATGATTGCCAAAGTAAAGCATGATTTTCACTTGCTAGTAAATTATTAACTGCACTGCAGTAGTTTCCTTCTAAAAAATAACGGCCTAATTATGAAATATTAATTATTTTTTTTAAAAAAAAATTTTGGTAAAAATGCACTTAGTAAAAGAAATCCACGAATGTTTGCATTATTGGTTATAAATGTTAAAATTATTAAAACAGTCTCAAAGAATATAGAATTATTACTTTTTTAGTTAAACTATATGTAATTAAAGCAATATCATTTTCACTAAAATACTTGTGTATTGCTTTTCATTTCTTTTTCTAATCCTATAAATCATTAAAAAGCCTTTATGCATATTTTTAATTCCTTCAAAATAATAGTTACTAGTTAAACACATTTTGTTTATATTTTTTTCAGTCTTATTTATTTAAATATTACTATTAAGCATTCCTAAGATTCCTAAGATATCTATATTTTACTAATTTTTATCTAATTTTTGAAATAATTTAAATTTTTTTATACTTGTATTATCATTAATAATATTATTAATTAGACATAACAAGAAAAACTTTCAAGTTTTTTTTGAAATGCCTCAAGATGTTGATCTGTTAATTTGTCATTAAATTCTTTTTAAACTTCAGTTATTTTACTTTTTTCATTATTCAATAAACATTTATTTCAAATTAGCAAAAATTGTGATTTGAATATCTGAAAAATTGATGAAACTTTATCATTATTATAGTTATCATTAATGTTAATTAAATCAAATACTCCTTATGAAATAATAGAAATTTTGATTTTAATATTTTTTATTTTATTTTTGCCAGATTATTATTAACAGGTTATATTTTTTTTTCACAATTTTTATCACTAATATTATCAATATTATTATAATAAATATTAGCTTTATATTCATTTATAATTATTCTAAGGTAGTATTTAATTCATAAAGTTTAGTATATATATTAATAAAAGGATTTTTTGACATTTTTTTAAAAGTTTTGCAAAATAAAATTTTTTTTATTAATCAGATGAAAAGGGGAAATTGAAAATTAGGTGGCTAAACATTTATCTGATTATCATATTAACTCCTTACCGGATAATTTCAAATGATTGATAATATATATATTTTTAGTATTTTTTGACATTATCTCAAAAAATTATTATGCTTATCAGATTTATTGAATTAGCAAAAAAGAAGTATATGATTAATTTATATTATATAAATCAGAAAACTCAAGTTTTTATTTTAAAATAAAAGATTCTTTAAATTGCAATAAAATAAATAGAGTAAATTAATAAGTTGAATGAAAATAAAGCATCAAATTCAAATTTGGTTTTTAGTTTAGAAAAAGATCTGTTAATATTAATTTAATTTTTTATTTTAATATTTTTAAAAAGAAAAAATATTACTTACCTTTGATTTTCATTTAATTCAAAAAATTTTAGTATTATGAATAGTTTTAGCTATCTACAAAAAGAGGTAAGATAAGTAAATATTAATTTTTTTTATAAAAAAAATTATTACTTACCTCTGATTCTCATTTAATTTTAGCTTTTAGGATTACAGGATGCTTTGGTAATTTATAAAGAGAGATAATTAAACTTTAATTTTTTTTTAATATTTTTAAAAAAAAAATTATTACTTATTTCCAATTTTTATTTAATCCAGAAATTACAATAAAAGCAGATATAGTGACGAAATCCCTGCTATTTACAATTTCTAGTTAATTAAGTTAAAAAAAAAAATACTAATAATATAAAAAATCATTTTATTATAATTGTTAACTAAATCAATATTAATTTGAAATCAATTTATTTTTTGATAATACTTCAGAGTGTAGTATAAGACCTTATACTTTAGAAGTTAGTATGAAAATCAGATCATCACGTGAATTTCTCAGTTATCACAATATGTATCATGTCTAATCAGATTAATAATCAAAACAAGTGTTGCACAAATAAAAAAATAATTTTTTTTTCAATTTTTTTAAAAAAAAAACAATGAGCTTTATTATCAGTTATTTTTTAGGTATCATAGAAACCAAGCGTTATTCTTAATCTATTCTCTCTTTTAGCTTTTTGTAATCTTTAATATACTATAGTCTCTCAAAATTGAAGGATTTGAGAAGGAAATCTTCAAGTACATGAACCTGAGACACCACCATAAATAAAAGACTGGCTGTAAATTCTTTATCACAAATATCTATTACAGTCTTTTTTAATGTGAGTTCTTGGCTTTTATGCACTGTAATAACATATGTGAGATGAATGAGAACTTGTAAGCGTAAATATAATACTTCAGATTTGCCATTCTAAGTATGTCGAATGGGCGTAATTGGAACAATTCTTCTGTCTCTAAATCAGTAATAGTGAGACCTTTATAATTTACAAAAGAAGTGAAAATCGCTATAGGAATAAAAGGTGGTCCTTGGTTCACTCCAAATAAAATATTTTAAACAGTTCCCATTACACAATTAATTAAGTCAGCTTCTATTTATAGGTTTGCTATCAGCATAATACATTCATCTCTTGCCATTAATATTTGTGCTTTAAGACTACCTGCAATATCAGAGGCAGCTTTTTGGTTTAATTGCCACCTATATACATAGCGGTTATTTTAGCAACAGAATATAAAAATATCTAAGCTGGTCTATATTGATTGTATTAACATTTTTCCATTTCATTAGGATGAATGTAGCATCAGAAAATCTATTTAGTTTTATTATACTTTACTTTTTTCAAAACATGTGGTAAGTGCTTTCTAGTCATCTAAGGGTCTTGTTATTCCTAAGAATTTTCTTCAATTTTAGTAAACCCTTTTAGTTCTTCAGGTACTTCGCCTGGATCTATACTATTATCTGTGAAAAACCTTTTTGGAAATTTTGTCTCTACTATAAAATGAAAATCTTTCATTGCATACAGGATAAAGAGAATATTTGAAATTATCAAATTTATACGAAATTTCTGCAGAAGCTCTTTTCAGATTTACTGAGCTCAGATGGGCTTTCATCACTCATAGCACTATTTTGTGATTCTGATTGACTCTTTCGAGCTGGTCTTCTTCCTGCTGCAACCTTATAGCTTTCCTACTGCAGCTCAGCTTGACTTCTTAGTTTACAGCAATATTTTAGACTTTTTTCTTTTAAGTCAGCTAATTTTTGGCATTTTTTTTGCGTTCATATGTATGTTATGTATCTCGTTCTTCAATAGTTTCCACGGCTTTTGTTATTTTTCTCACATTGGTTAGCAAGACATGTCTCGCAATAGTCACATGTTTTATTCTTTCTAAACTTCCCCTTTCAAATAGTTTCTGAATTAACAAACTAATCATTCATTTTATTGTCAATTAATAGATTTATAGATATGTGTTAAACGAGTGTATAAAAAAATTTTGAGATTGACTTGTATGCATATTTGTCATTTTTTTTAAAATTAAAATTTAACGGATTTAACACAAGAAACTATAACAAATAAAGAGATCACAAAAAGTACAATTTTATTAATTCTGAGTTGTATTGCATATATTTTATTAGCCATAGTATTATAGATACATTTACATTATTATGTTTCAAGTAATAAAATAACTACATTTACTATTATCTAACACTTTGATTGCCGATCCTGAAATTTTGGCCTGAATTTTAATTCTGCCCAAAGTTTTCAGGCAAATTTCCATTTGAGAAAATTTCAGGAAAACGCCACTTTTATCACTCCGGACTCACAACGGTTTCCATTTTCTAGTTATTTAATAATATTAATTTTGCTACAAACTTATCAGGAACAAAATATAACTGTAAGAACTAGAAATATAATGCTTAATGAATTTGTTACAATTCTCCTTTTTCTTGATTGATGTTGATGACTCTGACAAAAATGTTAATGATTAATTCTTTTTTAACTTTATAAGCATTGGCCTATATAAAAGAAATTGAATGAGAAAATACTTTGCAAAATAATAATCAATAAAAAAATTAAGATGCTGGATGCAGGAATATACAAACAGTTAAAGTTTTTTGTATAAAGCCATTTCTCCAGAACCAGTAGATCTTTATCAAGAATTTTCTTCTGGTAAATCTCATGATGCATATACAGACGAACTTAATAAATTGCATCCAATTTAGTACTTGTAAGAATAGGTAGTAAACATCCCATTTTATGAATAAATTCAAAGCATTTTTCGTAGGGATTGGTCCTACTGTTAGCAGAGTTGATTTGTAAATTGAAGAGGTTGAAGAAGACATGCAGCATGTTGAATAATTTAAATCTGGCAAAATTTGGAGATAAAGCTTAAAAGTTCAAAGTCGCGTCGATTCGTAACATACTTTAAGAATTACAAATCATATGATTCGTCTCGCCTTACATCTATATTTATTCAGTATAAGATTATTTGTTAAATAAAGCTGCATTCATATTTATTATTATGATCTACATTCAGCGTCAGGTTTTCTTTTATCAAGTAAGAATAAACCCGTCAGGCTTGAAAAATATGATATGTTGACATTTAGAACGTTTTCTTGAAAAGAAAAAAATTGTCCCGAAAATTTTTTTTTAAGAACACTAAATTTCAAAAAACAAACTTAATACTATAACTTACAGCTAAAAATTTTTGTGTATTAAAAACTTCATTACTTTAGGATCAAGACCTCCTATTAAATATTATATTGTGAATAATTCCTTTATTTTATTTGAATTTATTTCTTGTCAAATTAAATTAATTTTTTATAATAAAGGCATTGAAGCGTGCGATATTCATTATAATTTAATAGATAGGAGTATAACTGGTTCAAACCTTTTCAACAATCTCTCCGGGCAAAGTATGTTCCTCATTAATGTGCCCGGGTAAAGTATGTTCCTCATTAATGTTTTTAGGGGATAATATTTTTCTATTTTCATTCCATCTATAAATTAAAAATACACAAGCAATAATAATAATTGCAACCACAATACCTCCTATTGATGCGATTATAATTTTCATCGTACCCGATTCACTATTAGAATTAACAACAATTATGGAAGCCTTTGGTGGCGATGGTTCAGGTTTTGTTATTAATTCAAATGAATTAACCCACGTATAATTTCTAATATCCATTATATAAATATTAGAATTCGCTAATGGTAACGGAACGGAATTAGGTTGTGTAATATTTCCTATTATAATTTCAGAATAAATACTTAATTATAAACAACTTTTATAAGGCAGCATAAATATTCACTTACCGAAAGCTACAATCATATAATTATCAGCCAGGTTAGTTGTATGATATGATAATGATGGTGGAACTTTTCCAATATTTGACGTAACTGGTGGTACAGTCAATTCAAATTGTTCTGTTTCCATATTTAAAACAAATATATCTGGAACAACTTGAAGATTAGGAACGTTAATATTATCTTTAGACCCTCCATAAATAATTATTCTACCATTTGGAGCTATTTCATTATAAAATAAATAAATAAATAGTAATTCTAAAATATTTTATAACTATTAAATTACGAAATATACCTAAAACGGCCGTATGTCCTGCACGATTATCTATTATGCTTGAAGTTTTTGCTATCTATAATAAAATATCATCAGTTATTAGGAAGTAAAATTTTAAATTTCATTTGCATAAATACATACTCTTTCTGACCAAGTTAAGGATTTGGTATCGTAAAGGATAATTTGCTTTATATCAGCATATCGGAATCCATCTTTTACATATTCATATCCTCCAATCCAATATATACAATAACTCCACTAGACAATAACGTTGCGGTATATAGGTCTCTTGGATTAGGTGGATTAATTATATTGTTTGCCCATGATAATTCAACAGTATTCAAAATGACCATATCATTGTAATCAAATGTTGTTCCTGTACCTAATGATGGTCCAGTATATCCACCAAAAATATACATTATTCCAGAATTATCAATAACACTCTGTATATTAGCGCGTCTATTAGGTTTAATTCCTTTGATATTAGGTACATTCCATGACAAGGAATTTAAATTAAATGAATGAATACTTGATACAAATACATTCTGATTTAAATCATCAAGATTTAATCCGCCAAATAAATAAATAATTTGCTCTTTATTGTTTAGTGAAACAGTTCCCCAGCAACTTCTGAATGGTATTTTGGCATTTAGCGTAAGGTCAATCCAAGGTGGAGTAGCTAAATTAAATGACCGAGATAAATCAAGATAGAACACTTCATTTGAACATTTACCACCAATATATCCTCCAAAAAAATAAAGTTTGTTTTCAACAAGGACAGAGGAAGCAGCATAACGCCCTATAGGAGTAAAGAATTAACTCCAAGTAACAAATAGCTTAATATGAAATTGAAAAGATCAAGCAATTTACATCTTTTGTAAATCATAATTTCAATTAAAGCTTTTTTTTTAAAAAAAATAATTTTGTAAATTAAAAATACATTTTAAGGAGAATTTATTTACGTGCTGCGATGTTACATACTGCCATGTAAACAAATGCAATCTCTTTTTTGATGTTACTAATCAGAAAATCGAGACAGCTTTTTTTTTTTGTAAAGTACCTTATATTCTAAATATATTCGTTTATTCAGAAATTGTATTGAATATTTTAGAATAAAAAATCTTGATTTTTTATAATATATTTATTAAGATTAATTACGACAAAATATTTATTTTAAAGAAAAATTAATTTGTCATACGTATCTAATTTCCACAGATAAATGTACTTCAATGTTACACGACACGACATTATATTCACATAATTTGTCTTAGCTTTTTTATCGCAAATTTCAGTTACCTTAAAATTATTTATTCACATGTTCCAACAAAAGTATTTATTCCGCAGAAAAGCCAGTACCAACTTTATTATAACTATATTTGATTAATGATGTTAAATTAAATTATTTTGTCATGACATTGGACGAATTCGAAGTTTTAAAAATTTTTTAATTTCACTTAAAATTATTTGCGCAAATTTCCTTCGAAATAGAATCCAAATATTAAAAAAAATTTCTCAAATAACTTTAGAATTTTATAATGCAAATTTTTCATTTTTTAAAAAAAAAAAAAAATTTCAGAATTGGTATTTAATGAGAGAAGCCTTTTTATATTAAACAAATATATACTTTGAAATTTGTTTCTTTTTATATAAAAGATTGAAAATATAAAAGTTTGTATTTAAAACCCATATAAATTATCTTTAGTTAAAATAAAAAAACTTAATTTTAAAATTTTTTTGTTTTTATTATTTTATTTATAAATAAATATAAATAAATATTTATTATTTTATTAAATAAAATATATTTTATAAGTAATAACTTCTGTATATAGACTCCATCTCATATAGTCATATGACTATTATAATAATAAATTTTAATGTTTGTTTATAACGATAATGTTACGTAAAGACTAAAAGATTGTGTGATTATTAATGTAATACAAATTTATATATATATAATTAAATTGTCAATACAATTTATCAATTTATAATGTTAACTTAAATTATAAAATTATTATCTATATTTGTATAATATATTCAATATTCAGTTATATGATTATTTTTTAATAAAAATTTAAATCTGTTAGAATTAAAACTTAAACATAAAATAAAATAATGTATAAAAAGTATTATTAATTAAATTTATAACCATTATCTTATAATGAATTTTAAAATATTTAAAAATATATTTTTAAATTTCTTTTATCAATTTTATAATATTTTTATACAAATAATATTTAAAAATTATAAGAATAATTTAATTTCAATTTATAAAATATTAATTATTAAATGAAAATTGAGTTAAATTTTACTAATCATTACCAAAAATTGATATATTAATTATAATTGAATTTCAAAACAAATATTACTCATTAAAAAATAAATATTAATAAAATAATAAATAGATAAATAATAAATCAGCGATTAATCAGTCAAAATATAAAAAATCAATTCAAAACCAATTTAAACAAAAATAAAATTAGCTTAAAATTTGTAATCAATTAATTTTATTAATTTTAAAATATATAGGATAAACCAATTAAGCAACTATTTATAAAAATTAATTCTAATTTATATTATTTAAAATTATTTAAATTTATAATTTATTTTAATTTACATAATTATTATATTTAAATAACTTAATAAAAAAATATATTACAATATTACTTTATTTAAGAAAAGATAAATTTGAACTTTTTAAATAAATAAATAAATTTAAAAAAAATGCTAAAAATTAATATTAAAATATTCTTTAATTAGAATTTGAATCAATACAATCAAAATTAAAATAATTAAAAATTAATTTAAAATTAATTGTATCAAAAATCAAATTAAAAAATTAATCTATATTAACTATATAATAAATATAATATGAAAAATTAAGCGTAAAATTAAACAATATTTGTTTATTTAAAAAAAAAAGTTAAAAAAAGTAAATGATCAAAAAAAGTAATTATGTAAAAACAAATAATAAAAATTAAAAATAATAAAATAAAAAATAAAATTAAACAAAAAATTTTTATATTACATTATTAGTTTAAATATTATAATTAAATTAACATATTATAAATGGAAGGTTTACTAGAAAAATGGACCTTGAGCATTTTTTATTAAAATTTTAATTTTATTGCATTTTAATTTTTGATAATTTTAGATTAAAATGTAACAAAAATTAAAATTTTAATAAAAAATATTCAAAGTTCTATTTTTCTAGCAAACCTTTCAAATGCTAATAAGAAGTTTATATCAATTAAATTATGAAAAAACATTTTTTTATTTAATTTTATTTGATTATTACTGGTCAAAATGATACAATTCAGCTAACAATCAGATGTCTGAATTGTGTCTGAATTTATGTCGAATTATGTTTGAATTATAGTCAAATTGTAATAAATTTGGTTTAATTTCTATTGGCATAATTTGACGCCAATAGGACCAATTCAGACATAACAATTCAGACATAATTCAACCTAAAAATTAAGCTTAAAATCAATCTAAATTCAACCACAATTCAGATACAATTTGGATAAAAATCATCTTAATTCAACCACTTAAATCAATCACAAATCAACCTCAAATCAACTATAAATCAGATATAAATCAGACATAATTTGCTAAAAATCAATCTAATTTAACCATTTAAAATTAACCTAAAATCACAAATCAGAACTAACAAATTTAAATTTATTTCAATTTATTAAATTTATATTTTTATTATTTTACATTACTGATAAATTTAAATTCCTTAGAAAGAAATACTTTCAATATATATAAAAATTAAAGTAAAATAAAGAAATGAATTAAATATTTCACCTTTGATTGATTTATCATAGTGTATTTCTAAAAAAATAAGGAAAATAATAAATTTTCACCCAAAAAGTTACTAACAATTTGCTTACCTTAATTTGAAGATGAGAAATTTCCTAAAAAAAAATAAGAAAAAAAAAAGAAAATGGTAAATTTTCATCCTAAAAGTCACCAACAATTTGCTTATCTTAATGTTAAGAAATTTCCTAAAAAAGAATAAGAAAAAAAAAAGGAAAATAGTAAATTTTCATCCAAAAAGTTTTAACGATTTGCTTATCTTAAGAAATTTTCTAAAAAAAAAACAAGAAAAAGAAAAAAAAATGGTAAAATTTCACCCAAAAAATCCCAACAATTTGCTTACCTTAAGAAATTTTCATTTTTTAAAAAAAAATAATAAAAAAAAAAGAAAAAGGTAAATTTTCTCTTACTTTAATTCCAAGATGATAATTTTCCTAAAAAAAAGAAAAAGAAGGAAAAATCCACTAAAGTCACTTCAGATTTTTCAGATTTACATTTCTTATTTTCAAAATGAGAAATTTCTTTAAAAAACAAGAAAAGAAAGGAAAATCCACTCAAAAACTTGCTTCCGATTTATTTATCTTTATTTTCAAATGAAAATTTTCCTATAAAAGTAAAAAAAAAAAAAGGAAAATCCACCCCAAAACTTGCTTTTACTTTACTTATCTTATTTCTAAATAAGAATTTTCCTACAAAAATAAGAAAAAGAAAGCAAAATCCACCCAAAAACTTATTTTTGATTAATTTAAAATTTATTCATAATTGTTCTAGCCAATTGGATGATTGTTGTATTATCCAACTGAAATATCGTTTCTATTGAATGATTAGTATCGTTCCTTAGGGGACAATGATTTAATCATTCAATTGGACAACTTTTCATCATCTGATTAGAACGATAATATTGATTTAAATGATAGTATATCATCCTTTAGGATGATAGTTTGATTGTTCCAATCAGACGATTTTGCATCATCTGATTGGAACGATGTTGAATTGTTCAAATTGAATGATTATTGTTCTAAAAGGAACGATTTTTTATTATTCAAATTGAATGATCATCATTTCAAAAGGAACAATTTTTTTATTGTTCTTAATGAATGATAGATTTATCATCCCTTTAGGATGATTTTTTAAATCGTTTAATAAAAATGATAGTTTATCATCCCTTTAGGACAATTTTTTAAATTATTCAATAAAAATGATGATTCATCGTCCCAAAGGGACAATTTTTTAAATCATTCAATAGAACAATGATTCATCATCCCAAAGGGATGATTTTTTAAATCATTCTTATGAATGATGATTTTATTGTCCCAAAGGAACAATTTTTTAATCATTCTAAATGAACAATAATTTTATTATCCTTTTGAAATGATATTTTTAAATTGTTCAATAAGAATGATGGTCTATTATCCTAAAGGGATAATTTTTTAAATTGTTCTTAATGAATGATGATTTTATTGTCTCAAAAGGATGATTTTTTAATCATTCTTAATGAACGATGATTTTATCGTCCCAGAGTGACAATTTTTAATCATTCTTAATAAATGATTAATCTATCATCCCAAAGAGACAATTTTTCAAATTGTTCAATAAGAGCGAAGATGTATCGTCTCAAAGAGATAATTTTTTAATTATTCCTATTAGATTTGCATCATCTGATTGGAATGATATTAAATCGTCCTTTTGGAACAATGATTGTATCATTCCATTTTGGAATGATTGTTTACTATCATATCTTTTTCCAATTAGACAATTTTTGTATTATCCTATTAGACCAATTGGAATTGATTTTTGGCTCAACTCCAATCTATCATAAATCGGTCATAAATATGATAGCTGATTTTTGACCAATTTCTGAATTTAGGCTGAATTGCCAATGAATAGCAAATGGTGATTTTTTTTGATTTCGACCAGTGTATGTAAGAAATAGCAAATTTTTTTATTATTTATTTTTATATTTATTATTTTTATATTATCAAATTTTTTATAAATAGAGTAGCTTTAGAACTTTATTAATATTAATAGATCTTTAGCAAAAAATTTACTTTAGTTTTATTGACA